CTTCCAAAATTACTGTAAATAGCTCTGGCATCTTGTGGTTCAGACCTTCTCTAATTGCAATTTTAAGTCTCTGACTTGTGCTACTTTTCCAATCCCATCCAGTCTATGAGTGAGAAAGGTGGCATTCCTTTCATTATGATGTCCTTAGATCTAACATTTTCCCATATACAGAAAGTTACTTTGGCAAAAGGAGGATTCTTCACATGGACTACTCTTTTTAAATTATCCTAACTTAATTATGGAAAAAAGGTGCAAAGTATGAAAGAATATCTAAAGAATGGTGAATGGTGGAGGTGGGATGTCTTCATATATTTATTTTAAAACATTACTATTCTCTGTCTACATCCACATTATTCTACATGGTACTCTACTGTTTGAATATTTTGAAGAATGTGATTAAATTCAAATGCTTTGATGAGTAATAGCTCCTCATATTTGTCTAGAACTTTATTTTTATTGAATAGCAAGAGTGATGAAAGTGTTTTCCATAATAATAACAATGACAAGGGCCTTATGATGAACTACAATTAACTCAGTGATTCATCAGTTAGCAGTGAAAATTTCAATGCATCCTGACATTTAGAGCATTTGGTTGTGATTAAGTCTTTGAAATGTCACAGAATTTTATTTAATTGGCTATGATTTTTTTTAAAGGTAATCACTGCAAAGATTGCATTCATCACCAAAAGAGATAATTGCAGTTGTCACATGATATAGTAGGTGCTAACTACTGTACCAAGCACATTGGTATTCTTGCAGCAACTAATGAATACTGCATAAATCAATGGTTGGAAAGAACTTGGGAGTAGATTTAAATGTGCTTTTCAAATACATTAGTATCAACAACTTCAACTTCAAAGACATTAGTATTAACAAACTAAGCAAATACTGAAACTGAAATGCAGGTAATTGCGAGACAAAATTAACTGAGTTTAATTACTGTAACCTCTGAACCATCCTAAAAACCCAGCCAGAATCTCAATAGCCTATTCGTGTGATAAATAGCTTTTGTGTGAGTGACACACCCCTAACTAACCTGTAATGTACAAGAACAGATGATTTCTACCGCTTAAAGGTCACATACTGCAGATGAAGTGGAAAATAGTTTAAAGTCCCCTTCTAAGGGAGATTAAGTAGCATCCTTCTGGACAAAGCTGTTTAAAAGCACACTTGTAAGAGAGTATATGCGTGTATATGTATATAGCAGACATATTTCCATGTTCATAGAATCATAGAAGATTAGGGTTGGAAGAGACCTCAGGAGGTCATCTAGTCCAACCCCCTGCTCAAAGCATGACCAACCCCAACTAAATCATGTTATACATATGTAAAGTAAAAATATATGAAGCTATTACCTGCATTTTTATATTATAAATGGAGGAAGACATTACTCTATGCCGGTCAGGTCTGAAAGTACATGTAGTATGTTCCATCACTGCCTTCCCAATGATTCTCACTCACCATGGTTACAGCTCAGTGGGACATGATTTCACTTAATTCTCTCTGCTATCTATTTACGTAACTAGGTTTTAGAGTAGGCTTTATACTGCACTCAGTGCCGTATTATCTAAGTGCCTTACACATTTTAATACAAACACCTAGGAGCTCAGGTTTTCTTGATCACTGGCATCAATATTTTTTCCAATGTATGTGGATTTGGAGGGCTAATCTAGGATGTGT